AATGGAGGTTGCCTGCTATCTAATAAGATTGAAATGGTCTTTTTAAAGTCACCCCTTTTTGGAAAGGAAGACGGTCACTCCTTTTGAACATTGGTTGCAATGGGATTTTATTATTGAGCCTGCAAGAATCAGCTGAAATATTTATTGCTGTAAGAGTATTACAAATGTGTACAGTTGCCCTCCCAATAATAATATAAGGCCTCCCTCCAAGTGACTGCGAGTCAAGCATAATGGTGACTAAGCACCTTTTTCACACCAAAAAATTCTGAAATGTTTTCACAGCAATCTGTACTAGGGATGTGAAGTTTTAACCGGTTAACGGGTGAGTCTGGAGTCAGGCTGTGGTGCAGCCCCAGAGCAAGATACCTGCCCAGGGAGCAGCTGGGCAGCCACCACCAGCCCCCCCAGGGCTGGAGCTGGCATCAGCTGAAGGTAGGGAGGATAAGGCATCACCTGAAGGTGGGTGGGTTGGTTGTGTCCCAGTGGCTTAATGGATAAGGCATCAGTCTCCTGAGCTTGGGATTGTGGGTTTGTGTCCCACCCACATTAACCAGTGGCAGGTGGGGAGTTGCTCCAGCCCCACTAGGGGCTTGATACTAGTAGAGGTCTTCTCTTAGTGGGCTCAGGCACTCTGCAGGCAGAGGTGCTCTGGCATCCTGGCCAGAGCAACCTCTGTCTGCAGCTGGTCCCCCTTTAATCAGTTAACTGGTTAAACAATATGTTTAGCCAATTAAACAGGATTTTACATCCCTAATCTGTACAGAGAGACAATAGACAATAACAATAGAGCACCTGTGTGCAGTGCATATTGGTACTGTGTATAATTCAAATGGTAGAAATTCTCTGGGGATGACACACGGGTCCTTAGTAAAGACCTTGCGGAGTATGGTTTGAAGAAAAGAGCACAGTACAGGGTATCAGGACTCCCTTATTCTGTTTCCAGTTGCTGCTGACTTCCCAAGTCACCTGTCATTTCTCTGTACCTCTTTCTGACTACATTTACACATCCATAAAGTGAGAATAATAATATGGACCTATCTGATAAGGTACTGTGAGGTCTAATAATTGGTATTTCTCTGAGCTCCTCAAACAAGAGGAAGTCTGGGGCAAATCACTTTGGAAGTTAACACCTCTGCCTGAATAAGGGTTAACAGTCACAGGATACAGACTATTATTGGTAAATATTATTTATTATTGTTTTTACTCTAGTTTACATCTACATCTTGACCATATTTTTTAATTTGAACTATTCCGTAATATGTGCCATGGAAGCATGTGCATTACTTCATAGGAAGTGGCAACAAATGCTTCTGAGCAATAAAAATACAATTAATAAAACCAAAATCTGCACTTGATTAGACAGCCTGAATACAGCAGAGCCAGGAGGCTGGTTATGTGGAGGGCCTGATTTTCCAGTGTGTCTCTTCAGCTTTGCTCTGGTGTAACTTGCTTGAAATCGGTGCACTTACAGTGCTGTAAAACAGGCTCCATAATCTTTGATCCTGATCCTGCCTGCCTTAACGAGGCAAATTTCCCATTGCCCAGTGTCTCATTTCATGTTCCCTGGTGTAAATATGGTGTGTCCATTTGTCTGTCATAGAAAGGCATTTTAAAAATTCCTAGTCCCCCTGGTACCTGGATGCAGAATGGAGCTTGCAAGTTACTTAACCACAGATGATGGCACAACCTATCACTGTAATTAGCTACTATGATTTATTTGGATTCATTGGTTTTGGGGGGGTTTTTGTGACTTTGTTGAAATTACTCTGGATTTACACCAATGTAAGTGAGGTCAGAGTTTGTGCAAATGAAGTTTTGATTGAGTGAGGCATGTACAATCAGGTTCATAGTTTTATTTCTTTTTCATCTAGTGGAAACTGAAACACTGTTAGACGTGGCATCGGCATCACTGGGAGGTGGGCCTTTGTACACTGGAGTTGAGTTTGGGCTTCAGCCACAGTTGCCTAGGGCTGGATTCTAACTGGTGACCTGGAGAAGAAAAGGCTGCAGATCCCTTTAATTCCTTGAGCCTTTTAGGCATAAAGCTTTTAAATTATCCAGGCTCTGGGCTAGGGAACATGACTGTTCCTTTGTTTTCTGTTACATATTCTTAGTTGCTATAAATATTAATGCAGATGGATTAATTCAGCGGCCTGTCATGTTAATTTTGATTCTTACACATTTGTTTTGGCAGACGTTAGCTTTTGTTCCAGGAAGTTATGTAAAAATAATGATGCTTTTGACATTAGACCCAAACGAATCTAAGCATTGGACTGGATGGTGCTGCGTTTTCTTGCTGGATTCGGTTTGACTTTGCAGTCGTGTTTTGTTTAACTGGTGCTAGAATCCCTGATTGGCTGGCTTTATTTACCAGGAATGAAATACTGGTTCTATGTCGTGTTGATGAAGATGAGGAGAGGCTTTTTCATTTCATATTAGTGTAATATTTACACTGGTCTCACAAATATCTACAGTCCAAACATATAATGTAACACTGACAAAGCAAATTAAGATAATAGATCATGTCAGATTTGTGAGTTCACTGCACATTCAGGAGATTCTTGGTTGTTATGAAGATTAGTCAGTTGCATACCTATCTGCTCTGTCAGAGAGAGAAACCAAAGACGATCTGTAACCATCAGTTAAAGGTTCTGAAATAAAGACTACTTCTCAAGGATGTTTATAAAAAATTGAAACATTGAAGGTAGGTGGTATGTTTCTAAGAAAAAAAACTTTCAAAACGAGATTTTAAAATTTGGCACTGCATTTAATCTTCTCATCTCATCCCAGCAAACAGCAACACAAGATCCAGAAAGGCAGTCAGAAATCTGTGACCAATAAATAAATTGGGCTATTAATGACAGCACAGGGTTCTTGGGGCACTCTGGTTTTTATATGGATGAACCCAATGTCTACTTACTGTTGCTGGTTCCCAACCCCAAAAATGAAGAATGAACTAGAAGAGAAGAGTAAGGTTGGCTTGGAACATACACTGATCAGTGTGTGGAAGTGCTGATTGGAAACCAAAGTGGGTGGTAATGGATAGTCTGGCAGCAATGGACAGACAGGTCGGGGTGGGCTGAGACAGTATCATACTCATTGATGAACGGTTGGAACATATTTGCAGCGGAGATATTGTATATTCTGATCAGTGGCTCCTCCAATTCTTGTTGATTGTTTGTACTGGATATTTTGTGACATCGCCTCCACATTTACTAAGTGTTTAAACCAGCTGATTTATTTAAGTTGAGGCCATTTTACAATGCTGTAATCAAGTAAAAAGGACCTTTCAGTGGGTGTAAATATAAATAATTCCCATTTGAAGGCCTCTCCATTTTGCCAGAGTGGTATAAAGTGGCTTAAATTTGAACGGAAATCAGGCCCTGGGTTTCTTAGGGACTGTGGCTTTGACAGGGGGTTGCAAAATCACCCCGTCTACAGTCAGCTCTCAACCATAAAATAGTGCATTTAAAATTATTTCTAGCTCTTTTCTAAGACTATAAATGATCCATGTGTGTGCATGTGTCTATAGTTACAACTCTGAAATATGGCCTAGATTTTAGAACAATATATATTTCCTTTTTTCCCTCAAAATGTCTGCTACAGTTCGTCCAAGATAGCCTAATACCAGTAAAATGATGTTGTGTCATAGAGACAAGTAGCAGGTACAAGAGGCTTGCTGAGACGTGCCTTTTATGGAGGCGGCGTGAAAGAAGAACACAGGAGTGCAGGAAGGCTGGGGAGGCAAAGCTTACTGTAGACGAAAGAAGAATCAACACAGACTGGAGGGGAATTCTTTTATTCTGTTTTTTATTACAATTTTAGCCCTTTTTATTACAAAAATTCTCTAGTTCTTAATTATCTTTTTAATTTTTTGTATTTATTTCTATTAATATTTTTTATTAAAATAACTGTTGGCATTTAGGGAAATAAAAAACAGGCTACAGAATTCACCAGCTTTCTGCCTTATGTTTTATAGTGCTTGCTGCTCAACTGGTCCTTAAAGTGCCCAGTGTAGTGCTGACCAGTTTACTGGCTGGGATTCCTTTCCTTTGAATGTGCTGCTACTTTGCATGTTGCCTTGAATATGATTTTTCGGTTAGGCCTTTTAAAGACTCATGTTCTTTCCGTACTGGAAGCATATTTATAGTAGCTTGATTTCATTTTTTTAATCATTGGTGACGTTCCCAGCAGGATACGTTCCTTTGTCTCCTCCCTAATGTATCACAGAATACATTCCAATTTAAAAGTGGCTTTATGCTCGTGCTGTTACTCGGGACTCTCTTGTACTAAATCACTCTCCTGTGGATTTCTCTACAGCTTTTTTTAATGATTCATTCAGCTCTTCTGAAATACCTGCTATCCAGATTCTTGCTCTTCAGTAGAGACTTCTTAGTGAATATAAATATGTTTATATTCTTCTGGCTAACTGTCTGTCTTAATTCTTTATTATATATCAACCAATTCAGGGTGGTTCTTTTCTGAGGTGGCCTTTTTTCTTCTGATCTAATTAACATGTAATATGTCCATACATAAAGCTGGAAATGCAGAACAGAAAGTCAGATTCTTACTGGTATTTGTGTGTTTATACTGTATGCATACTATCTACAGAATGATGTAAATATATTAACATGCACAATAGTACTTATGTGCATGTGTATATTGCTGTATCTAGATCTAGCTGTAGTGCATTGTATTGTATATACAGGAACACAAACGTGCTTGTGTGTATTAATATCATTCATAACATTTTGCATGTGCCATCCACACAAACTAGAACACTGACATGAACAAACATTGTGTTTGTGTTCGTGGGATCTTCTGTGAAACATGATTGTGTCAGTGCTGGCTTCCGTAGCTGGATTTAAAGAGAATTAATTTGAAATAATTACAAAACAGACCTGAAGAATTTACATAATCTGTCTTAGTAAATAAACACATGAAAGTGCTTATCTAGGATAAATCAAGGGACTATACATACATTTTTATTTTTTTAACAGAATGAAAGTGCCCTTGTGAAAGAAAAGGAGCTGTCAATCGAGCTTGCAAACATCAGGGATGAAGTTGGTAAGTAGACATCAGAAACTAACAATGTGAAAAATGTCCTCTCTCACATGTAACAAAAGCAGTTATTCCTTGTTACATGGTACAAGGAAACGTGAATAGCTGTAATGGAATATCTTCCTAAATCCAGTGGTGAATTTTTGTGGCCTTGAAGGGAACAATAATTTTATTTCTTTGTTGTTGTGGAGAAAGGTTCATAATCATGCACACTGGGAGCTAATCATGCCTCATCTTTACTATTCACAGATGGTGATCTATAAATTGTATCCTCTGTTCTTCAGCATCTGTATATAACACCCAGCTCAGAAAGCCTTCAGATGTGGCAGTAAACTGTTAGCAAAGAATTAATTGCCTTGCTTGTGTGAGTTTACATGTACAGGTTGGACCTCTATAGTCCAGCACCTGGCTGCTATCAATCCAGAGAATTTGCCAAACCACGAGAGGTCAATATTGTTTGGCAGCATTACCAGCACTTTTACTGCTAACTGGACTCTTAGAAGACATTTAGGTGTAAATTAGAGCTAAATAACAGCACAGAACACTGAGAGCCTGTAAACACAGGTGGCTGTAAACAAACTTTATGGGTCTGTGGCAGGCCCCTCCCTCCTACCCTCTTAAGTCCAAGGCCCCGGGGCCCAAGTCCACAATGCAGTTTATAGCTGGCCCTTTAAGCAAGGCAAAAGCCCTCCGGCCTGAGTCCACAACACAGTCACAACACAGTTTGTAGCTGGCCCTTTAAGCAAGGCCAAGGCCCTCCGGCCTGAGTTCATAATGTAGTTCAGGGTTGTAGCGGGGACACACCCCAGGTAGGGGGACCCAGGCCCACCCTACTCCACCAGGTCCCAGCCCAGGGCCCTGCGAGCGACCAGGTGACTGGTCACTCCCTCGGCAGGGCAATCTGGCCAAAACACGCCAAGGTTCTCTGGGTGGGAAAGGCGGCTCCCGCTCCTTCCCTGGGCCACTTCCTACCTGGTTCCCTGGGGTTCCTTCCCCTGTACTTGCCCAGCTTGCTGCGAGCTCCGTGCCAGCGTCCCCTCGGCAGGCAATCCCTGGGTTGCATCAACTCGCCTCCACGTCCCTTCCAGCCTCTCCTGAAGTCCCCAGCAACAGCTGAGTGGGAGCTCCCTGCACCAGTCCTTCTCCTCCAGCTGTCTCCCCAGACTGAGTCCTTCCCCAGGCCTTTATAGCGCAGCTACAGCCCAGGCATGCTCAGTAGGGCTGTGGGGGAGGGGCCTCTGCAGCCAGGTAACCCTGGCTGGGCCCTGCAGGTTCAGTGCGAGGCTGGGGAAAATTGTTCACACAAATAATAAATGGACATCTGGCTAACTAATATCATGTTGGACCATGGATGTTGCTGCTTCAGAGAGTGCCAGACTAGAATGATTCAATCTGTACTTCATTTCTGTTACATACAAAAAAGTACCAAAGTCGGGATCCAAAACCAGTCTGCAATAAAATCTAACACTTAGTAAACTGGAATTGGTTATAATCTCTCTGGACCTGGAAAGGTGGGGACTGACTCAACTGTTGCCAGTCATCCCATTGGTTCTGTGTGCATGCGGGTGAGCACATTTCCCTGTTTTGTTCCATTCTGAAAGTTGATAGGAAAGGCAGTGAGTGACCATTAGCACATTGCCCTATGGTGAGAGAAAAATAGCCCTACACAGGGCTCAGACACCAGGCTGGATTTTTTGCACTTGAATCTTCCCAGGATTGGTGGGGTGTGTTGTGTTTAACTCAGAGCAAGAATGGATGAGGGGAGCGGGAGGGAGCAGGGACAGCTGAAAGCGTATCAATGAAAGCACGGCTGTGCAGCTTTCTGCTCCTGCCTAATAGCAAGATTAAGGCCAAAGAGGGGAACCGGTTGCTAAGAGCCACAATAACTTGATTGTCGCTGATACGAAGGTTCCATTTTAAAATGATCACTACAAAGTTAATCAAAGTTCAATAAATGTTTTACATCAATTATTATAAAGTCCCATAGGTTAACCGATTGCTTAGAACAATGGCATACAATCATCGATGACACATACCCCAGCAGGCTTATAACATACCATAACCATTTATTCGCCCTGTATAAATAGAACCTTAATATGAAGTGTGACTATTTACTTGTTCAGGCTTCTGATTAAACCAGGTCTCCCAAGACCCTGTCATCCTGTGAACCCGCTTCCCTCTTCCTCCCTCCCTCCCACACACCTGATTCTTTTTTCACTCATACTCTGGAGTGCCACATAGCAGGCATGCCAGGCTAGGAGACACTCACCCAATGCAGAGGATTTTTGCCTTGGACTTCACTTTATGTGTCTTATTCCACGTTGAAAAACCCTTACATCATCCTTTTCTGCCACTCGTACAGGAGCTCAATAACATGAGCACTTTGCTTTGCGCCTCAAAGGGATTTGCATCACCAAGGCCTACGGCCGATGTATGAATGTTCAGACCAATAGTGCTTTGCTGCTCCATCCCCACAGAATGGTCTGGCAGGGGCTGAGAGCACATTGACATGATCACTTTTATCTCTGTTTTCATCTCTGCTGTATATTCCCCTTCCCCTCTGAAAGGAATGGCTCCAGTGATGAACTTACCATGGCATCTTATGTGTGGTAAGGTCAGCAGGGGCTGCTTTCCCGTCGACTCCAACTGCTCTTCTCATCCCTTTGGAGTACTAGCATTTGATTTATTGCATCTAAACAGACACAATAAATCGATGGCCAGTGGCTCAATTGCTGCAGTGTCGATCCACAGCATAGTGGAGACAAGCCTTGTGAATGCATGGATATCCAGCACTATAGACAATACTGAGGGATTTGTGTTATTGTAACGCTGGCAGACCTCTGTCGTCTGACCAGAATCAAACCTGGGACCTCTGGAGCTTAGTGCATGACCCTCATGAGCTAAAATCCAGCTGGCTATTAGCTAAAGGCTTGTCTACACTGTGGAGAAGATCAACCCTCTGGAGGTCAATCTTCTAGCATTTGATTTAGCAGATCTAGTGTAGACCTCCAAATTGAATGCTGAGGGCAGCCACCTCAGTGTCCTGTACTCCTCATTCTGTGAGGAGTAAGGGAAGCCAACAGGAGCGTGTGCTCCCACTGGCCTCCCACAGTGTAGACACTGCAGAGGCTCGACTTAACGTAAGCCAAAACCAGCTACACGTTTTGTGTAGCTGGATGGCATACCTTAAGCCAACCTGCCTGGTCTAGTGTAGACTAGGCCTAAAGCTATAGAGCAGACTCATTAATCTCTCTCTGTAAGGGTATGTCACACAGCAACATTATTTCAAAATAACAGCCCTTATTTCGAAATAACTTTCCTAGCATCTACACAGCCAAACCGCTATTTCAAAATTACATTGAAATAGCAGAGTGCTTATTTCGAATTTGGTAAACCTCATTCCATGAGAAATAACGCCAAATTCGAAATAGCTATTTCAAAATAAGTGCTGTGTAGACACTTATTTTGAAATAGAGGGCCTCCAGCCTCAACCAAGAACACTTCTCTCCCTCCTCCCTTCCCAGAGCCCTTAAAGGGGTTGACTCTGGCCACAGTGCCTGTGCCAGCTCCAAGCCTGCCAGCCCAGAGCCAGCAGCCACTGCCCCTGACCCAGTGGCCCCAAAACATGAGCCAGCAAGCCACTGGCAGCCAGCCCTCCACCGCTCCCCAGGAGCAGTCTGCCAGCTCCCAAGAGCCTACCAGTGCCTGGAGAAGGCGGGCACCTTCCTGGTCCAGGGTAGAGATGCCCCCAACGTCCATGATCTCCGCACTAGACGGGGGAACATGGCCATCTATGGCAGGCTTGCTGCCAGCCTGGCCACCAAAGGCCACATGCGAACCCAGGAGCAGGTGTGCATGAAAATCAAGTTGGTCTGTTGAGATCCACAACCCTGAGCTTCCTCTCCCTCTTCTTCCACCTTTTTCCCCCTTCCAGCTCACTCCTCTCAGGTTTCCCCCTCCCCTCTCCCACCCTCTCTTCTCCCCTCTCCTGCCTTCTTTCCCCAGTCTCACCAGAGTTTCATTCCCCCCTCCAGTTTTGTTAAATAAAGACAGTTTGTGTTTATGAAAAAACGTGTATATTATTTCATATGAGGAAGGGAGGCTGGAGGGGGGGGAGTGGAAGAATGTGAGGGAGAAATGAGGCACAAGCCCCCTGTGGGGCAGACCAGGGAGGCTCTTAGTGCTCCTCAGGGTGGAAGCTCTCCCACAGGGCCTCCTGGATACTGACAGCCCCCTGATGGACCTCCTGGATGGCAGCCTGCAGAATATGCAGCCAGGCTCGCAGCAACGCATCCACGAGAAGCATCAGAGTGCCCAGGGGCAGCTCTGGCTCCATTTTGCAGAGTGCTCTGATGTCCTGAGTGAGGGCAACCAGAGCACACAGAGACAAAATGCTTTGCTGTCCCTCAGCGAGGTTTGCAAGCAAGCTGGGAAACCTGAGAACTGGTTGTCGGGGGGGGGGGTCCCTTTAAGCACAGGCCTCAGATAGCCTCAGGCAGCAGCCCCACACAGTAAGTCCTGACCTGGTGCCCTGCCTTAAATGCGATTCAGCGTCCAGTCAGTGTGGACTCGCTATTTTGAAATAGCCAAACGCTATTTCAAAATGCATTTTGTGTGTAGATGCGTTATTTCAAAATAACTTATTTTGAATTAACTATTTCAAAATAAGATATTTCGAAATAATGCTGTAGTGTAGACATACCCTAAGTGGTCTCAGTGCCACTAGATGGGACAGCACACCATACCCAGAAGATGCGTGGGTTACATATTTTATAAAATCAAGATTTGCCCATTCGTTATAATAGAAATCCTAGTGCTCTTAATACATTATATGCAGTCAGTGCCAGAATTAAAAGCTGGTGTTCATAAATGTTAAACGTATTCACTTTTCAGTTGGGAAGCCACTGAAGCTGAAAAAAGGCCTTATCTTGGAAGGTATCGAATATCCTTAGTTCTCCTTCAGATCAATGGAAGATGAGGCCATTCCACACTCTGTTGGATCTGAT